GGGGGGGGGGGGGGGGGGGGGGGGGGGGGGGGGGGGGGGGGGGGGGGGGGGGGGGGGGGGGGGGGGGGGGGGGGGGGGGGGGGGGGGGGGGGGGGGGGGGGGGGGGGGGGGGGGGGGGGGGGGGGGGGGGGGGGGGGGGGGGGGGGGGGGGGGGGGGGGGGGGGGGGGGGGGGGGGGGGGGGGGGGGGGGGGGGGGGGGGGGGGGGGGGGGGGGGGGGGGGGGGGGGGGGGGGGGGGGGGGGGGGGGGGGGGGGGGGGGGGGGGGGGGGGGGGGGGGGGGGGGGGGGGGGGGGGGGGGGGGGGGGGGGGGGGGGGGGGGGGGGGGGGGGGGGGGGGGAGGCATTGAGATATCCAGACAGGATGAGTTTCGGAGAGAAATGGGCGAACTTCAATGTCGTCGTCGATATGGACAAGAATTAGCAACGAATCATAACGCGTTTATTCTCGCGAGAAAGACGTTTACACGCAGGTTACTTGACTGATAGCCGATTACTAGCACAATCCCGATCGAGTATCTCCTCGAATTTCACGAATACGCAAGAAACTATTTCTTATTACAAGCGAAAGTGCACTACAGAAAAATCTGTATTCTCAAACGGAAAAGAAAAAAAAAAAAAGAATCATATACAATTCTGGGCATACTTCGCGCAAATTCAACCAAAATAGCGAAGGCAATAAATAAAAGATAAGTAAAATACAAGAAGACTAAGATAAGACATACAAAGCACACAAACTTCTTGGTCATTAAATTAACTTGTAAGAATCAATAAACAGTCTGTGCATCAGTTTTCAGTTTCAATTATATTTCTTTTATTTGAGAATTCATCATCAATAAATTTCACGTGACCCGAACTCAGTGCACAAGTCATCGTAGTACATCACAAATAGGTATTGTTATGATTACTAATTATCATCGTTATTGTATGTTACCAAATATTATAATAAGTGTTACCGTAAGACCAATCGTAGTTAGTTAATAAATCGATCGTATATTTCCGACTTCTATATCTGCAATATTTAATTAAACGACATTACATTGCGTTATATCCTTACTCTTTTCGTAAACGTTTCCTTTACTTAATCGTAAATACGTGAAATCGGTCATGTATTATCTCGATATGAAGGATAAAGAGGGTGCTATCGTTCTCACTATGGTGATCGGGGGATAAAGAGGAAGAAGGAGGGACAGATTAGTGCGAAGGTCTGATGTTTATGAGGATTATAAAATTAATAAAAAAAAAATCTCGAGATTCGTATTGCTAATTCGCGTCGAAAGAATTTTTTGTGTTTCGCCCAGGCTGGAAATTCTATTGCGAGCGTAAAATTAGTTTTCGCCTAACTTGAGAGCGGTCGGTCGAACTTGTAATATCGATTGCCTAGACAATCGATATATACATATGTATCTAGATAAAGAAAGACACTATATTGCATAATTAAATGCAACTCCCCTCCCCAAAAAAAAAAAAAAAAAAATCGCGAATCTATCGCAGTAAAATTGAAATAATTGTAGCGAGTTACATTTCCTCTTTTTCGTTTATGTTCTACCAGTTTCTACGATACAAAATACAATTAATTAATTAATTAATTAATTTGTTAACCTACCTACTATATACACATATCACTATGTGCGTATGCATGGATGGACCGGCGCGTGTAAGCGTCATGTATCTGTATATGATTCTGCATACGTACATAAATTTAGATATCCTCGGACGTTGCGAGAAACGTCCGTAAAAATCACGTTTTTTTGCTGCAAGTGCAATGACTCACAAGGGACTCTCCCGTTCGTTGATTCTTGCGATTAAAACGTAATATCGATATATAGTCGTGGCGATAAAAATTTTTTATTGGAATAATAATCACATACACAGACACGACGTACAAGCACGTAAATAATAATAAAATCAATCGAATTGAATCGGCTGTACGTTGATCGTTCTCGATTCTCCTCTCCCATGTTTGTTTATCGAATAAAAGTGATTGCGAATTGTTCAAGTTTCGATGCGCCGTAAGATTGCCATCCTTCGTTGCCTTCGACTACGCGGGTGCTAACACTAGAACGGCTAAATCTATTATATTATCAAATAAATTGTTTTTAGAGAAAATTTTTCGATTATTTATTTTATAAATTTTTTTCACTGTTTTAATAAGATAATAATTTTAATTTATTACCGGAAAAAAATCGCTTATCGAGCATGATAAAGCACACAATATATATTTGAAAAATAGTTTCTATTCTCTTTTTAAAATGTAAAATTGATATTCTAGACAAATTTAGAATTCAGTCGTCCTAATGTTAACCCTCTCATTTCCAAATACATACCATTAAATATTAAGAAAGACGTTTAAATATTCTCTTAATTACATATAGCTTTCAATAATTTAGTTGATTATAATGATATTTATTTAAATTTTTTTTTCTTTTTTGAGAAATTACTTTATAAATTCTTAATGGGAAAAGAGGGAAAAGCGGCGCGACGGCGGCTCCGGGGAAATCTGCGAACTCGCGCATTAGAAAACTCCATAGGCGAATGCACGCGGACGCGAAAGTTTCGCCAGGCGATCCTGTTATTGTTTCCGAAATGTTTCTCCAACCGGAGCCCGCGTGCCGAAGGCCGAAGCAATATTACACGACGGTATTTCGGATTATTGCCGTTGCGCGCTTCGCAAAGATCGCATTCTATTTCCGGAAAGCTTCGTCCGCCTTTCCCGAGAAACGCTCTTACAGAAGTACGATATAGTATTATGTTACGCTAACCTACGTTTATTCCTAGATATCTTTGTATATATATATACGAAATTAATTATTTCTTTCAAGAAACGGACGTGCTTGATAGAAGTATCTGAATTTTTATGACTGTTAGAAACACTTTTTTATAAAGTAATCACGTTACAAAGTAGCGCGAGAATCGAGGCGAAAGATAAGCAGAGTATGCCACATTTGCATTGCTCGACGACGACATTTTGATGACCCAAAGAAATCAACGATAACGGTCTGCGCGGCAAAAAAACTACGATGATCAAGTCTTTCTTCGTATAATGTATCGAGAGTGCCATCGATCGTCATATATCATAGTTCATTGTATCGTTAAATATATAAGAAAAGAACGAAAATCGTTCGCAAAGAGAAGCTAAAATCCGATAAAATATTTTATAAAATTATTCGACAAATTATTAACCGTCAACAATTGATAAACGTCGGCAATTTTTTTTTTTTTTTTTTTTTGATTAATTCTAATAAGCGCGATTATATAATTATCGAATTGGACAATAAATATGTCAAAGATATCGTCATAAAACAATTTTCGTAAAACAGATATGTACAATAATGTAACTGTCACAGAAATTTATCAATTTATCGCGGATACATAGACATCGTAAATCATATTACTCGAAATAAGCCGAAAAAAAGATACTCGTGCACAAAATATGCGAAAATATAATATATAATTTTACACGATTTTGACAGTCGTATGTTTGCAGATTCATCTACTTCTATCAATCAGTCATATATCTTACTCTCTGTAAGTTAATCATAATTAATCATCACGTTTTATCGTTGCCATTATAGTTATCCGACTTAGGAATTTACAATCCTCTCGATACTTTTTTAGACCTTTGTATCGCTCGCGATCCCTAAGAATCTATTTCTCTACGTGTGCAGTATCCTAAATTAGATTTTTCTTTGTCGCCACATGCCGATATATAGTACTGTTGATCATTGCATCGCTTCGTTTCCCGCCCTCCCATCGCGCTACAAAATATATGCATAAAATCTTTGTCGTCTTCAATTTCCCGTTTCTTTTCTCTCGCTGCTTGTCAGCATTGTATTTGCTCCAGCATCGTTTTTGTAAAATACATTGAACGATCTTTATGTTCATCTGTCGCAAATTATTAAGTACGCGAGATTAATCGCCATCGATACTGCGATTGATTTCGTATCGATGCGAATCATGTTCAAAACCGCATCGTTCGCTAATCATCGACTATAGTTGCGCTAAAATCTCAATGCTATCATCTCTAACGCTAAGCTACATATCTCTCCTCGTGATCGAACACGTGACATTTGCGTAATCGAGTGAGCGTATAGAAATATATACCGCTTTGTAACCCTAAAACTAGATACTCTCAAAGTTTCTCTCTCGTCATAGTCATCCCGTGCTCGTCATTTTATGTGTTGACAAAATAAATGTCCGATTTCCAGCCTAGGATCCATCGATACCGTCGCTATTTAGTCGCGACCGAACACGTAAGCCATCCGGCTCGCGTAATCAGATCACCTTCCGCGCTACGTAAATTACTGTAATTAGCAACGTGCGTCTAACCCGTCTGCGAAATCAGGATATTCCCGGTGTCCGCTGCAATTTCATCCGTTGTTATCGTTACGCTCTAATCACCATGAGCGTTCCATTACGCCCCGGTTGATTAATCTACCCGACGCTACACTCACGTGAGAAAAAATAGAGAGAAAGGAAAGAAACGTAAAAAAAAAAAAAAAAAAAAAATTAAAATTGAAAACAGAAATAACGAAAAGAAGTGACGCGTCGGCGTTGATCTACCAGGTCGAACAATCGCACCGCACCGATAAAAAAAAATTAAAATTGAAAACAGAAATAACGAAAAGAAGTGACGCGTCGGCGTTGATCTACCAGGTCGAACAATCGCACGTCGCCGATACTCGGCGTCAAGTTGATCTAGTAATACGCGTGAACGTAAATGAGATTATGAATGGGATGATGATGGGCGTGGGGATTGTGCAGGGGGGTGCACAGGGACGTCGTGGTGATGGTGGTAGGGGACGACGGATGATTGACAGATTGCATCGTGGATACGGGCGACACCTGATTGGGGGGACCGGCCGGCACTTGGTACACGGTATTGGGCGCGGCCATCGGGCACCTTGAGGCCCCGGCTGCGCCGTGTTGGGCCCCATGCTGTTGTTGTTGTTGTTGCTGTTGTTGTTGTTGTTGTTGTTGAATGTAGTTTGGTGGTAGACATACCTCGAGGCGATCGGTACGTGGCATCTTCTGCGGCATCGCCACCGTCTGCGGCACCACGCCGAGCGGACTGCCGACGCCCGTTGGGTCCGCCGGGCCCATTATCGCCGGCATTATCGGGCTGGGCGCGAAGTACGGGCTGTACGTGTTGCCAACCTGCGGCATACCGGTCAGGTATGGATTCGTCGCCTGCGAAAACACACCCGGAAGGTATCCAGGTAACACGGATTAGAACACACCTGTCCCCCACCTTCGCTCCACGCGTATTTTCGATTTGTCACGCACGCGATTCTCGAAACCGTTAAAACGCGTACTTTATATTTTTAAATGTATACAGAGTACTTGGTAATGAGTAACTGCGACGGAAAATATTTGACTTCTTCTCATAAAACGAGTCGATTTGCGAAAATAACTTCTTTACGCAAAAAGTCATGTTTTATTGAATTATTTACAGTACAATTTTTAAGAACGCGCATGTAACTAAGAACAATCTGTATTCGACAAGTCCAGAATCGTGACTACTTTACTTTTTTTTATCGTTTCAAATATTGCGTGTTAACAAATATACGTTTCGCAAGTTTGACGAGAATTACGATTGACTGCGTAGTAAAGTTTGATAGCAAATAATTTAGGAACGCAGCCGTTTCCAAGAAAAAGTTCTTCTCGCAAAAATCAACTTGCTTTAAGATAAACAGTTCAGTACTTTTACAAAAAGTTATTTTACAAAAAGTGTTTTTTTCGTTTTTATTACCTATTACCAAATTCTTTGTATATGTAATCTACTATTTCTGATTCATATAAATTCTTTTTTAAGATGCATTAAGGCTTCGCGACCAACGCTCTCTTCGTTGTTTATTAATTTTGACACATGTATCTAATTTGTGAGATTTATACTGTGTGAGTAGTTACTTCAGTTGCTTCAGTTATCTGATATAATAACAATGTGTAATAAAAAAATTGCAAATTAATACATCTAAAAAAAATTGAACTTCAAAAACAAATACCAGAGGCGCGAATCTGTAAAGAAAAGGCACCTCGTTTGCGAACTTCGCGAAGCCTTAATCGTCTTTTTTCCCTTTTCTCATGCCCTCCCCTTCGCTTTTAACGACAAGCGTACACGTTCCCACACGAAGCGTTTGGTTTTGCAGCGAGAGCTGGCTCCCAGAAGCGAAGGCAGGTAATTTCAAGCGCATCCGAACGAGTCGATCACTCTCGTTCGTTCTTCTCAAAAGCCTCTAATATTCTGGGAGCTTTCGTCATTGTAATGAAGTTTTCGGAGACGTGGCTAGGTAATCGTCGGAAAAAAATGCGTTAGCAATATTTACGATTAAACATCTGCATTATCATTTCTCCAAATATCAGAACGGTAAAAGTTTTTTGATATATAATTATTATAAGATTATTAATCTTTCCAAGTCCAAGATTACCACGCCTTGTCTCCTTTTTCTTCGTCCCTTTTACTATTGTTGGCTTCACATTTATGCGACATTAAAATTTAACGATTTTTTCTATTTACTTTTTGTGATATCAAATATAGATAAAATAAAATATTTTAAAAAGACAAATATATTCATTGCTTTCAGAGCTAAAAGACGCGCAGATATTTTACTTAGCCGTAAAACTTCATGCTGATCTCTCCTACAGGAAAACTTTGAGAAAACATGTACTAACAAAGATATTCTTTTCTGAATAAACAAACAAAACATTTTGTGAAGCATGCAAATAAAAGTTACTTAATTTACTATGCGGCGCGTTCTTAAAATAAGTTTAAGCTTTCGTACGAACGCTTACCAATTACAGGCGCATCGCTCGAACGACTATAGTGGACGTAAAATTTATAAAAGTAACTCATATTGTATAAAACGTATATAATGCATTGCAAACTGTAAACAAGTACCATTCATTTTAATATAACACAGATTTAAAACGGCGAGTATTTTTACGTCCACCATTAGCCAACGTGGCGTTAAATTAACTAAAAATTAGTGGAAGCCAACCAAAACCAGGAGTTACCATAAAGGCGTGGGTAGCGAGAAGTTGCTGCTGGATTTGCTGTTGAAGGTGATGGTGTGGTGCCGGAGGTGCTGGTGCCTCCTGTTCACCAATGACGTAATTGGAGAACACACCAACAATCAACCACAACCACGTGAGCCACAGCGGCAAACATAGGGGACAGACAGGCAGTCATAGTATAGGGTTCGATATCACGTAGCAACGACTATGAATGTATGTCATGAGTAAAAAGAGAACGTTAATAACAAGTTTCGATTTTTAATTACTGCACCGTTGATTAAAAAAAAAAAAAAAAAAGATTGACGATCTCGTGCGTGCGCGAGAACGCTTCATATCGATTTAAAGACGCACTACAGGGACAGAAGAGTTCGGAAAAAAAAAAATGTGGAAAAGTTTCGTCGGTCGTCAAAGATTTATTTGGGTCGCTCGAAACGAACCCGAGCAACTCGCAAGCGATGTCGCGTGAAATTCTGACGGGTCGACGAAACTTTGCCGCGCCCAAATATTACTCTATCGTTCGAAACTTTGGCATTGTGCTTTTCCCGTAATTAACCAGCCTCCCGTCGAATGACAAATATGAACAATACTAGAAATGTTCGCGATGAGAATCTGGTATGTCCTCTCTCGACCTGTACTTCATGAGCCCTTTGCAAGTTATCTGATGACTTTAGAATTCAACTTAGAGTCTATAAATTAAAAGCAAAACATATTTATATATCTCGAATATTTCAAATTTTTATAGATATTCATAATTCAAAAATTAATTGAAACATATTTTAAGTGATTAAAGAAATAATAATAAAAATAAATATATTGCAAATTTTACGTAGAAATTTCAAGAGAAAGCTATGATATAAAATAATGAGATTAAAAACCACTGATTTGCGTTAAAGTTACATCAAAGAGACTCGATTCTGCAAATTGACTGTCTATCGAAATACGTGATTAAGTCAGGTTTCTCTAGGAAGAATAGGGATGACACTGACCAAGAACATGCGACGTGCTAAACTTTTTAATTCTGAAAAACTTTATCTCTCGGTGCAATGTCCGCAAGAAGGAACGCAGGTAAATATGGACGGCGAAGTGCTGCGCTTGTACCTCGAGAGAATTCTATCGGAAAAGCTTGCAAAGTGTTTTAATTTAAATGCGTACGCAAACGCGGCTTCTATAATGCATCTAGCTTCAAATTTCATGATACTAATGTGATAAGAAAGCACCGCACCGTCGACAATCTACGCAGCGTCGCCTACCGGAAAAAAAAAAAGATAATCTAGTGGTAACCCTCGAAACTAAACACAGACAAAAATCAAGATCTTACGATCGTGGAAAAAGTGTGTGAATGTGTGAATAGCAAAAGACGTGGTGCAACGATTGTGTTAATTTGTTGGACATACCACTGTTGGTACCTGGCCGGGCACAAGGGGTTGACCCGGCGTAAGGCCCTGCTGGATCTGCTGCATCAGCGCGTTTTTCAACGCTAGGTGGTTGCGCCCGTTTATGAGGAGTTGGTCCTTCAGATGCTGCGGGGGATGAAAATACTTGCAAGGTGGTTTCTCCCGATTACATCGACCCTAAAACAAAAAATGCAGGTGTTTAAATATGTTCTAATAATAAATAAATATTTATTGTACAATAATAAAAATATATATGTAAAGAGAAAGCTATAGATTCTATTTAATATATAGCTCAAAAATTTGTAAATTTGTATTATTATTTTAAACCATATAATATATATATACATCCGTAAAATATTTAAATTATTCGCAATAATATTATTGTAACACCCATTATTACACGTCAGTCTCTTACCAAGCATAGTATATATCCTCATTATATACAAAAACTAAATTAATATTAATTAATTAAAATTATTTTCCTAATCAGTGGTAAGCTATTATATAAATAGAATTGCCGAGTAGTTTTAAACGCTGGACATTATCTGCAAAATTTCTTCCTAATTTGCATTTACAAAATAATTCAAAATCAGAGTATTATTCCCAATAAATAATTAATGTAAACTGTATAGACGACTATAAATGTGTTATATTAATAAATAATCACACTGGGAACAAAGGGATTGCAGAATATATTCCTAGCTATTCTGTGTCGTAATAATCGATGAGATATCTGATATTCATATCATTCACGATACTATTGTATAATAATACAGAGAGAGATACTAATTGTTCGATAGCAACATATTACTCTTACAAATATGCATATATAGATATAGATATTTTTAAAGATAAATTAAGATATATGATATATATAGCCTAAAATTTATTTAGAAACGTGTATTCGCGCGCATATAAGTGGTTCATGATATAGCTAATAACCAGAAGTCTCAACCACTAATCACATCCACCTTTCATATCGGGTTCTCGTTTACTTTGTTCCTCTCTTGCCCGACCTGCCTTTCTCGTAATTTGGGTATTGGGACGAAGCGTAACGCGGTTTACGGGATAAGTTGCGGGCGCAAGGCTGGAATACGGAAGTGGCGCGAAGGCAGGAAAGTGGAAGGAGAGTGCCGTCGAGCCGACAAGAGGAAAGAGGTCTTCATGGGGCAGAGAAGCGGAAGGTAGCGGGAAGAAGTAAAGGAAAGCTAAGATAGGCGGTACGAGAAGCGAGGTCGCGCCGCAGCCGGTGTGTCGCGGTGCTACTAATTAGACCTTAACAATATTAGTTCACGTAAGATGTCTATATAGATCTGGTGGGATAACCCAGCCGCTCGTGCTTTCTTACGGAGATCCAGTGGCTTTTAGTAATAGCGACTTGCGAGCGAGCGTAAGCTCCGTCAGAGACAGAAGCGGTTGCGCGGCGGTCGACGGGAAGTGATAGCGGGTCCTGTTGGCGTTGATGGTACAACGGCAAGACTCAAATATCGCCTAATTAAGCACATTCGAGAGTTTCAGGGAATAATGTGTAGGTAGCCCGCCACGAGAAAGTTTCGACCCATTGAGAGGAAACACGCTCCGCCCTCTTCTTCGTCTTCGCCACCACCGTCATCGTCGTCGTCGTCGTTCTCGACGTGGTCGCGTACCACGACAGTCGACCTCTCGTTGACACGGGGTGGTTCAGGTTCGACTAATTGCACGAGACAAGATTCTCGTTCGAATTGCATGCTCGTGTACGACGCGTGTCGTGGATTCGCCGGGCTTTGAAGCCGATAACATTTGTTTCTCTCTTTACGGATCGCTGCTCTCGTATATCTTGATTCGACGTAATGAAAAACTAGCCGGAACAGTTCTTTGAGCTAACAATGTGACTCGTAAAGTTTCTCATTCTCTCTATAAATTTGATATATTGAAAATCCGTTAGAAATGTTTAAATAATTCAAAAAATTCATTAAAAAAAGCAAGAAAATATCGAAAGCAAACGATAAAAGATGATAAATAATGTAAAAAATTAAGCACTTTGGTGAGAGTTTAGAAAATTGCTTCTCAGTCTTATATTATTATCACTTTATTCTGATATAAATCAACGATAAATATTTCTTTAATATAAATTGCCAAATATACCGATAAGAGTATCATTAATAAATATAGTTTCGGGATGCTTACGTAACGTATATTTTAGATGGTTCTAACTGTGGTGGGAGTAATATTAAAGTTGATTTAAAGGGTCTACTGATAAGAGATGGCATTCTCGGATCTAATTTTAATGAAACTTTAATGATATTTAGAGGATCTCCGAAGACGGGTACCCTCGTAAATCTTGTATATAATGATGTAATATCTCACAGATCTCCTAACGACCGAATTGTTTCATCCTTAGACTGACTTCATTTTAATGTCGACGAATCTATATTATTTCAGATACCTTTCGAAAATCTCCAGATTAGCAGATCCTTTATTATTGTATTTCTCAGCTGATTTTATATTGCAAATCGATTTGCAATCTTATATCGAAAGTTTATACTATAACTATATAGAAATATAAATTCCGAGCAAAATTATTTCGGTTAATTTTTAATTATTTATATTTACTTATGCTATACATTTATAAAATTATACATATTTACATTTATTTGTAACATTATTTTAATTCTAATCGCTTTTATTTTATATTTTCAGATATATAATTAATAAATGCATTTAAGATAATAAACTGCGTTTGAAGTTTTTAGAAAGGCTTACTTTACAATAATAATAGATTTGGCAAAAAATGTACCATCTCTCTGATAATGCATGCAACCATTATACAAAAGATAAAAGTAACTGTAGAGTTAATGAATTTTAATTCCTCAAGTAACATTTTTAACATTTTGGATAAAAAATGTATAATAATTTATTATATTCGTGCTCGTGCTGTTTGAAAATTTATAATATATTGAAAATTTATCGCAAAGATTCTATCGAAGAAGTCATTTTTCCGGCTTCTGAAATGTAAGTGGATATCAACCAGTGTATAAACCTGCCACGAGATATTAATAAGTAATATTCGATTTATCCGCTTAGATAAATAGCCTAATATAAGAGAAGCTTTAGTATTTTTACATTGCCGATCCCGTAAGAAGGAATTAACCTTACTACATCGTAAGACAACGTGATAACTTCTGAGTCACGTAGTAATATAAGCCCCTATCCTGTTTTAAGATTAATCTTGTACAATCTAGACAAATATGATTTAACTTTGTCATCTCATATGGTATTCAAACAAAAAATTTATTTAAATTTTCAATTCTCTTTCTCTCCTGAGTCGAATTGTTTTAATGAAGCTATTTTAGGCAAACGAAAAAATGGTCAATATCGACAGATTATACAGATCAGTTTAATTTTTATATATTATTCAGAAATATTTTTTATTTGAATTAAGATAATTATTGCCAGAATAATTATCAACATTTTTTTTACAATATAAAAAATATAAAATATAATACAGCTTGTAAGAAAAACTGGGGTAGATTATATTACTGAAATTTTTATATCAAATCTGAAATATTAACAGCAATTTATATTTATCAGAAAAAGCTAAAATGGAAATCAAATGCTTGATTAATTATCGTATATATGTATATATGTCAATGACTGCTTATATTATATCGAGTAATTAGTATTTGCAGTAACTATATTATATATTAATAAATGTCATATAAAATTAATGTGTACTGTTTGTGTTATTGTATAAAAATCTCTTTATGTGTGTTTTCGAGTTCTATTACATAATATCCACATATATTCATGCGAAATCAGAACATTTACACAATTGCCCGTGGTTTGTAGCGCAGGTCAAGCTACATATTTTTCTTTTATATAACGAGAAAAATATGAAGCTGAAAAGATTAAAAGGCGAAAGAAGTCTAATCGACATATGAAGGCAATAAATAATCTTTAGCTTGTTCGTTTCTTGATAACTCATTGGCGCGAAACGAACAGGTGTGCCAAAATAAAAAAAATGCTTTTACCCGTCTCGTACGAGCACAACGAAAAACCTCCGTGCCTTCATTGTTTCGGCCTTCCGGCATTACAAAAGAAATGCCGGTGGATGGAGGCGGTCGAAGGCTCTAGACCGACTCAATTACAGTCGCTGAGCGACGCGATAATTGGGATCAAGATTGATTGTCTTCCTTCCTTTCGCGCTGACCTCCCACGAATACAAGTTACTCGAAGAATGTACATTTCCTTTGTTCCTGTCTCACCTAAATAAAGCAGAGACGCCAGTACCGAAGACAAAATACAATTCGTCCGAATAAAATGCGGCTCTAACCAAGAACAATTATTTTGCGATTAATTTTAGCACAAAATATTATAAATTTTAATTTAATTACAATAAATGAATTTTAACAATCACAGTACCATACAATAAAATTAAAATAAATCAATCTGTTAGAATTCTTAGATCATACAAATAAATTAAGATATATCTCAGATTATTTAATCCATCTACTTCAATCGTATCACAAATTCATAAAGTTGTTTTTTGATTAAACACTTATTTATGGCAGCTGGTTTTTTGATTACATAACTGTTGCATTTGAAAAAAGCACAAAACGATACACTTGCTTGTCGATCGTCTATTCGATTCGGGTGACATAAAAAATGTTATCGTTATCAAAATTACGGCTGAAAATTACGAGGATCACATATAAGTAATATAAAATACAATAGTAAATCGCACAATAATAATTCGGAGTAAAAAGCATCTCAGATCGTTTTCCCAAACCAGCTGGACGAAAAAAAAAAAAAAAAAAAAAACGCGCGGAGATACCCGCGAAAATGACTCGACGACGAGACGTAAGAAAGAAAAAAGCAAGAAGAGTGGTGAGAGACAAGCATGGAAGGTGCTCACTTCATGGTGGCGGGAAGTCGATGTCTAGCAACCTTTTTCACCTCGATAAAGCCCTGTCGTCGAAGGTGGCCGACGAACACGATCCTTCAGACCCGGGCTAACCCCGTTTTATAACCTCTCACCCATCTCCCACCCATGTCCCCTTTTCACCGTCTCCTATCACGCGTACGGGAAGAGACCGAGAGGGAAGAAACGCGTTTTCGTTGTTGAAACGAGCATCGCAAGACGACAGAGGAAAAGCTATGTGCGAAAAATGGGAGAAGGGGTGCGAGGGTGTCGACGG